CTAAAATAAACAAACGCTAAAACAAAAAAAAAGGTATCAAGGATACATAAACCTTGATAACATTATGCTAAGTGAAGACGACACTGAGATAAATGCTACATATTGTACGAATCCCACTTAAATGAAAAGGCCAGAATAGGCAATTCCGGAGTCACAGAAAGTACTTAGCGATTCCAGCGCCTGCGAGAAGGGAGGAATGTAGAGTCACTGCCAATGGGCACAGGGTTTCCTTCTGAGGTGACAAAAATGCTCTGGAATTAAAAAATTGGTGACAGTGGGGATAAGCACCAGGTGTTACATGGAAACCAACTTGATGATAAACTATTTGTAAAAAAAAAAAAAAAAAAAAAAAAAAAGTGGTGACAAATGCACAACTATGAACACCCTAAAAATCACTGAATTGAACACTTTAAGTGGGTACAGGATACAGACTGTATCGCAATAAAGGTGTTAAAAAAAACCACTCTGTCAACCTAAATCAGAAAGAAACAGAGTATCTCAAACCTATGCTGTACACCTGAAACTAATACTATGTCACTTCAACAAAAAAAAATTTTAAAAAGAACATGTGTGATATATATACATCTATAGGAATATTCAGCCACACACACACACAAAAGAACAAAATCCCAACATTTCCAACAACAACAACAATAGTAAGAACGTGGGAAATAATACACGTCCCCTTGCAGGCTGTGACTCAGAGCAGAGGACAGTGAGCACAGCTGGCTAGGCGCGCGCCTTACTCTTCAGGAAACCAGATTTTGAAATCCTTAGAGACAGGACAACTCCCATGGCACCTAGCAGAGAGCAGACGTCAGAGCTCACTGGATGCTAGGTGCTGGATGTTTTATAGGTTCCTACTTTACTAAATCCCAACTATAATCCCATGAGGCAGTTATTCTTACTAAAATAGGGGTTTATATATGATGAATCAACTAGTTCTGAGGAGCTTTCATTAATTTAACAAGGACATACAGTCATTAACAAGCAGAGCTGAAATTCAAATTTAGATCTGAATTCTAATACTTTGTATGCAAGTGGAATGGAAAAAGGTAAACCATGAAAAAATAAAAACATAGTCACACGAATAATCTTTATGATAAGAAAGTATGACTACACAGTAAGTTATTTCTAATAAGTTTAAATTTAAAAAAAAGACATTTGTGAAAATATTCAATATAGCGGCACCTGAAATATGAAGATGTTTGAAATGACCCAAGACTTGTAAAAATGCCCCAAAGCAAAAGTACTGAAAGACAGAAATACTATTCAGATAGTATACTTACCAAAAGAAAGTAAATCTATGTTATTTTTTCTTGCTCGTTTTATCCACCCATAAGAACAATTTTCAAAGTGGAGTGAATAGAGGAAATATTAAGATAAGAAAACTAGTCATTTTTTGTAAGGAGTGAAGTGGAGTGAATAGAGGAAATATTAAGATAAGAAAACTAGTCATTTTTTGTAAGGTAACTCTCCAGTCAAATCAAATCATAATCTGGTAACAGACGCTGTCTGTCAGTAAACACGGAACTTAATCAGCATAAGGGGACTGTCACAAACGGTGGACAGGCAGTATACTGCCTAATATTCTGCAAAGTGAAAAGAATGGATTCTGAAATCTATTTCAGAGGTCACTCCCTGCTAAGACTAAAACAGATTATTAGACAGCTGGTTTGAAAACCATTAGACACTGCCACAGCTGTTCCAAACAGGTCGTGTAAACCATTTTCTGAAGGCTTTTCTGGCCTGGATAATAATGTAGGATATTTTTATTATCAGCAAAGTTTACCAAAAAAATTCTCATATCCTATAAATGTGACAGATCTATGGTGATTCAAATACATTTATTAACAGGTTAAAAAGTGTACAGTCAGATGGCTTTCTATACTTCATAATGACATGAACGACACCAGAGATGGCCTCATTAACCACGTTAGACAAATCAGATGATGTACCACATACTCAGTCAACATGCTTCCCAGATTTATTTACACATGGCCAAAAAAAGCAGTTGAGTGTAAAGATGAGAAAATCAAGAAAGAGAAAAAGTCTGGAATAAGGGTACAAGTGAACGTTAGATTAAAGCAAAGATAAAGGTTCACAATCATTGATTTAGATTTACTTCAGTTTAAAAACTCAAGAATTCCTCAAGCAAAAAATGTCAAGGATTCAACTGACTACAAACTCAACAATCTTTAAAAAAAAGAACTAAATTGATCTTAAAGGATGTTAAAAGAAGTATATTACATATACAAAGAAGTTCTATTATCCAGAGTATAATGCTTAGTTTTGATTTTTAAAGTTTATTTTGACAGAAAGAGGCAGGGGGAGAGAGGGACAGAGAGAATCCCAAGCAGATTCCACGCTCAGTGCAGAGCCCTTCATGGGGCTTGATCCCACGGGAGATGGCGACCTGAGCTGACATAAAGAGTTGGACGGACACTTAATCGACTGGGTCACCCAGGCGCCCCTATTATGCTTAGCTCTGAACACCATGTACACATGATGCTGACAGGCCAGAGTGGGCCAGAAGGATGACAACAAAATAATGGATCTGGTACCCACGAGACCCAGAGGAGAAGCATTAAGGAAAGCGACAGAGATTCGAACATGAAGGACAGTCTCTGCCTTCAAGGAGCGCATAGTCCTGTAGTACAGACAGACATAAACTAACAAATGCAACATACTGTTAATCAGTGGGCGATACAAAGACGTAGACATACCATACCAGAGACTCACAGACAGAAAGACTTGTACTTTCTCAGAAAAAAAGGAAGTCTTCGCTAAAAAAATAGCTTGTAAGCTGACATCCGAAAGGTACTTATTATATTAACATATGTTTACTCAACAATACTAATAAGAGTTAACATATGACCACTTATTTCGTACCGGCCGCTGTGGAGCAGCCAGGACCTCTGCCCTCGGGCAGTTTAGGATTTAACGAGAGGCACACATGAAGCAGGAGTATCAGCGATGTGAGAGCGATTCGGGAGCACGTACAGGTGCAAGGGAGCACTCGGCAAGAGCACAGCGGGCACGTGGGGCAGTGGAGGAAGGCTCCGAGTGCAGAGACCTGTGGGTTCTGAACAGAAGGCCTCGAGTTAAAGCAAAGAGCACGGCTTATTCAGAAACGGGGATCTCGTTCTACCCGGAACACAGTCTGGGAGGAAGAGCACCTAGAAAGGAGGCTGGAGGTCTGA